CTTTTTATGTGAAAAACTTGTAATATTTACTGAAAGACTGCCAAATTTCGTGAAGATATACACACTAGATTAAAAGTATCAAATCTGTAAAGACTTTGAATGAATACAAAGAGGTCACATGGTTGGTCAAATTGACCGAGGCCATGTTCAGAGAATTTATATCATTTCTGCTACTTTGTATTATTTATTTAAATTTTAGTATGACTTTTTTTAACCATTTAATGTATGATTAAGAACAAATTTCATAGCAAAATGTCATAGATCATTTGAAATGTCTCCATTTTTAATAGTTCTAATTTCTCTACAGAAAAAAAAATATATTTGTAATTAAACAGTATCCATTAACAAAATGTTGAACAGAATTTAGGCAAGAATAGCTTAGATATCTTAGGTCTTAGCATTATTTAAAAGTTTGCATGTTTCACAGATTGTTTTGTGTATGCCACACCCTTCACTCCGGACGGTAGGGCACATGGGGATCTGCATGAACAGTTTAAGAGAAGAACCATTCTAACTACAGAAAACAGTTTTCCTTATGTGAAGACCAGGGTTCAGGTTACTAAGAGAAAACAGGTGAGAAGATTCTTTCAGATTAATAATCAATTTACATTTCTTTCAAGTTAATATGAGTCAACTTCACCCTCTTTCAAGCCAGAAAGAGTCAACTTTAGTCACTTTCGAGCTAGTAAGAGTCAACTTCACTCTTTTTCAAGGTATGATGAGCCAACTTTAGTCTCTTTGAGGTAGGAGGAGTCAGCTTCAATTTCTTTCAAGTTAGTAAAAGTCAACTTCAGTCTTTTTCAAGCTAGTGAGAATCAGTTCAGTCTCTTTCAAGCTATTAATAATCAACTTTGGTCTCTTTCAAGGTATGATGAGTCAACTTTGTTGTTGTTTTTCAAGCTTAGATTGTTGTCACAGGGTATTTTAAAATGTAAACCAGTATACTTAGATTATAGTCACAGAGTATTATAAAACATAAACCAGTGTACTCATATTGTTGTCACAGAGTACTATAAAACATAAACTGGTATACTAAGACTGTAGTCACCGAGTATTATAAAACATATACCAGTGTACTTATATTGTTGTCACAGCATTATAAAACATAAACTGGTATACTAAGATTATAGTCACAGAGTATTATAAAACATAAACCAGTGTACTTTTATTGTTGTCACAGAGTATTATAAAACATAAACTGGTATACTAAGATTATAGTCACAGAGTATTATAAAACATAAACCAGTGTACTTATATTGTTGTCACAGAGTACTATAAAACATAAACTGGTATACTAAGACTGTAGTCACAGAGTATTATAAAACATAAACTGGTATACTAAGATTGTATTTATGGAGTGTTACAAAACGTAAACCAGTATACTTAGATTGTTGTCACAGAGTATTATAAAACATAAACTGGTATACTAAGACTGTAGTCACAGTGTATTATAAAACATAAACCAGAGTACTTAGATTGTTGTCACACAGCATTATAAAACATAAACTGGTATACTAAGATTGTAGTCACGGAGTATTACAAAACGTAAACCAGTATACTTAGATTGTTGTCACAGAGTATTTTAAAAGATAAACTGGTATACTAAGACTGTAGTCACAGAGTATTATAAAACATTACCAGTGTACTTAGATTATTGTCACAGAGTATTTTAAAACATAAACTGGTATACTAAGATTGTAGTCACAGAGTATTATAAAACATTACCAGTGTACTTAGATTGTTGTCACAGAGTATTTTAAAACATAAACTGGTATACTAAGATTGTAGTCACAGAGTATTATAAAACATATACCAGTGTACTTAGATTGTTGTCACATAGCATTATAAAACAAAGACTGGTATACTAAGATTGTAGTCACGAAGTATTACAAAACGTAAACCAGTATACTTAGATTCTTGTCACAGAGTATTATAAAACATAAACTTGTATAGTAAGTTTGTAGTCACGGAGTATTATAAAACAAAGACTGGTATACTAAGATTGTAGTCACGGAGTATTACAAAACATAAACCAGTATACTAAGATTGTAGTCACGGAGTATTATAAAACATAAACTGGTAAACTAAGACTGTAGTCACAGAGTATTATAAAACATAAACTGGTATACTAAGACTGTAGTCACAGAGTATTATAAAACATAAACCAGTGTACTTAGATTGTTGTCACATAGCATTATAAAACAAAGACTGGTATACTAAGATTGTTGTCACGGAGTATTACAAAACGTAAGCCAGTATACTTAGATTGTTGTCACAGAGTATTATAAAACATAAACTTGTATACTAAGATTGTAGTCACGGAGTATTATAAAGCGTAAACCAGTGTATTTAGATTGTTGTCACAGAGTATTAGAAAACATAAACTGGTATACTAAGATTGTAGTCACAGAGTATTATAAAATATAAACCAGTGTACTTAGATTCTAGTCACAATGTGTTATAAAATATCAGCTGGTATGATTAAATGTCAGTATAGACTGTCTATTTAGATTACAAAAAGATATATTTGTTTGATGACTGATTGCCCTCCATCTATCCAGCAGCTTAAAATTAATCATGTTTTTTTCTCTCACCTCACCATTTAGGCCACATGTCACATAAGACACTATTTAGATATGATTGTTTTATTTTAGATGTGTAATGTTTGTTAATTGTTTCTTTAAAGGTTGTCCTCACACCTATAGAAGTAGCCATAGACGACATCAGGAAGAAGACCAAGGAACTGGCCATTGCAACTTGGCAAGAACCAGCTGATCCCAAGATCTTACAGATGGTTTTGCAAGGATGTATTGGAACTACAGTGAACCAGGTAAAAAAATAATGTCATTTGTTTTTGTAATTAACAGATAGAAGTCTATTACTGTCTGGTGAGAAATATTTTGCAAGAGCAAAGACAGTATTTTATATGTTTATCTGAATTATGTGAGTATCTATAACTAAAAGACTTGAAGCATGTTTGATAATTGAGACTTGAAACACTTGTTTGTATGATAAGCAAAAGTATCATGAGACACCTGTTTGTATGATAATTAAAGGACTTGAGACATTTACTTGTATGATAATTAAAGGACTTCAGACGTATGTGTCATGTGATGAAGAGAACTTGATATCATGCATAAAGTACTTCAGCAGGTGAAAACGTTTTTTGTATAATTACACTTGTATTTGGAATACTTTTGTTCTTACGTCATCTGAGTAATTTTGGCCTAGTTAACTATTTTTAAGTGTATTGTTGCTAACAACAGGTGAGTAAGTGTATGTAACATCTGATTTGGTGTACTTATTACTACTATATCCATCGTTTATGGCTACAAGAAAAAGAATACTGCATTTTATGTGTACTCCATCCTTACATATGGCAGTGAGTGTTGAACCATCTTGCCTAGTATGGAAAAGAGACTTGCAGCCACAGAAGTGTGGTTTTATGGAAGAATGCTACACATTTTGTGGACAGACCATATAACCAATGAGGAAGTACAGAGAAAAGCAAAGACACAGAGGAAGCTGATCGTAACAATCAGAGACAGACAAGTGAGTTTCCTAGGACACATAATTGGAAAAGTACAACTTGAAAATATGGTAATTACTAGAAAAATAGAGAGCACAAAAAGTCAAGGAAGACCAAGGTTAAACAACATCAATACCATTAGCAAATGGAAGAATGTCAGTGTAACTGAGATTTTGAAATCTACAAAAGACAGGAACCAATGGAGTACCATGATCTCCAATGTTCAAACTGGCACCGAGGGAGAGATATATCTGTTGTTTAGTATATTGTTACTACACAACAGATGAATAAGTGTATGTAACATCTGTATCAGTGTATTTATTACTGCTATATTGTTGCTACACAACGGATGAATGAGTGTATGTAATATCTGTATCAGTGTATTTATTACTGCTATATTGTTGCTACACAACGGATGAATGAGTGTATGTAATATCTGTATCAGTGTGTTTATTTCTGCTATATTGTTGCTACACAACGGATGAATGAGTTTATGTAACATCTGTATCAGTGTATTTATTACTGCTATGTTGTTGCTACACAACGTATGAATGAGTGTATGTAACATCTGTATCAGTGTATTTATTACTGCTATAATGTTGCTACACAACGGATGAATAAGTGTATGTAATATCTGTGTAGATGTATTTATTACTGCTTTATTTTTGTTGTTTAGGGTCCAATGGAAGTTGCTATTGTATTTTTGTCTGATCTTGTTGATGGAACCAAAACACCAACACCTTTACAAAACAAACTTAGATTATGTTTCAAGGACTTTTCAAAAAAGTAAGTACTGAGTAAGTGTAATGTTGATTTGTTTTCATTTTGTACCGCAAGACCAATACTGTAATCCAAATGTCGTATTATTCAGCAGTCATATTGAGTTCATTTCATGTTATTGATGCTGATAAATTCTGTTCTTGTATCTCAACCACAACACATGTTGTGAATCTGTGAAGCTTGAAATCTTCATCTTATTTGCAGATAATTCTGTGTCTGCTGATTTGACTTTCTAACTATTCAACTCACCCATTTTGAGTTTTGAAGAAGGTTGAAACAACTTTGGAACTATTCTAATCACCCATTCCGACTTCCAAATGAGACATAATTTTAAATTGAAGGATATATGCTTGCTTTTTTTTTTAACCTTCGTCAAATATTAAGATTAACTAATCGCTTTGTAGTTTTTTCTTTACATGTTTTCAAGAAATTTCAGTATTGCCATATTTCAACAGTAGAATATTAGATTTCTCTTGTGTTTTTAATTTTTTGTTATACTGAATGAAAATACCTTTCTCTTTTGTGTTTTATTTACTTTACAGCATCAATGAGTAGTTGTTAAACACTCTTATTTTAGCGAGTATGTTAACCTTTTTTGTTTTAGATGTAGTGATGCCTTAAGAAAAAATAGAAATCTTATTGGTCCTGACCAACGAGACTACCAGAAAGAACTGGAGCGTAACTATCAGCGTTTCACTGACCGTATAGCACCAATGTTAAGAAACAATGGAACAGCTGTACTTAGAGCAGGAAGGTAAAGATGGGAAATTGTTCACTGTAACAGGAGTTTAATGAAAGAAAGTTAATGTTGGTTTAAATATATTTAAAGTATAAACTTGTAGAAGAGTTTTATTTCTGTTGTTTCCTGTGTTTTACATAATTGCTAGGTTTCCTGTTTATTACTCTTATAACTCCATAGGTTTTAGATAATTGTATGAACCATTTAATCAGCAGTTTTTCTTATATATTTGTTTGTCGTCGCTTTTATAGTTTTAGTACACATTTTCTGATTTATGTTGTATGTGTATCACCTCTTTCATAGTTTTAATACACATTTTCTGATTTATGTTGTATGTGTGTCACCTTTTTCATACTTTTAATATACATGTTTTGATTTATGTTGCATGTGTGTCATCACTTTCATAGTCTTAATACACATGTTCTGATTTATGTTGTATGTGTGTTAACACTTTCATAGTTTTAATACACATGTTCTGATTTATGTTGTATGTGTGTCATCACTTTCATAGTATTAATACACATGTTCTGATTTATGTTGTATATGTGTGTCATCACTTTCATAGTCTTAATACACATGTTCTGATTTATGTTGTATATGTGTGTTAACACTTTCATAGTTTTAATACACATGTTCTGATTTATGTTGTATGTGTGTGTTAACACTTTCATAGTTTTAATACACATGTTCTGATTTATGTTGTATGTGTGTCACCTCTTTCATAGTCTTAATACACATTTTTATATTCATGACTTGATTTGATGTTATCCACTTGCAAAAAATGTCATGAATTATTCATTTCTAATTTATAAAATTTACTAAACTTAATTTTAGTGTATTTTAGAAAACATTCTGTGATTTAATTTCATTTGTTTGAGCCATAGTGGTAATTGTGTTTCTTTCACCAGTCGTTAAACTCTCTGTCATTTGTTTGATTAGCAGAGATAGTCAGGTAGATCCACGACAGAAGACAAGCCCCATGGTGTGAGAGAAGACAGAATACTCATCTGTGAAATGCTGTCTAGAATTAAAAAACAAAGTATTATTTGTCAGTGTGTTGAGGATATAATCTTTTGTATAAGCACTTGAACATCTGTTTCGGTTTCTCTATAAACATTGAAGCCATGATGAAAATAGATGGGTCATATTTGTATATATATATGACTTTGCTTTTAATGATATTATCCACAAAAGAACTATTTGTTTTTAGATTTAAGATGCTTGAAGCAATTCCCACCAATTGCTGTATTTTTATACTTGAATGATACTATGTAATTAAATTATTGATCGTGATAGTTTTATTAATGATTTTAACCATTATTAGAGTTTCTTACAGATGTAGAAACTTTCAACAGATACATATCTAAGTTCCTTAGTGGTGTCATAATGAAAATTACCTTTGTTGGAAGTGTATATGCTATATTTCTTGAGGTATGGAAAGGACCTCGTAGAATTCCTCCTACACAGTCGACATGAAACCTTCCGTTAATCTAAAATTGTGACAGAATGTAATGTTATTGGATGTCTTCCTGTAAAACAACACTGTTTAGTTTTGTCATATAACATTTATTGTGTGTTAAGATTGTGGTGGAATAAGGGACTAGAACATTTTAACATGTACTCATCTAGTCTTTTCTCTCTCTCTCTGTGTTTATAATGATGTTTGATGCGACTTCCGAGTCTTATGATATGGATGAAGGTGTTTGGTTCTACAAAATGGTTTAACTTGTAGTACATCTTGTGTGACAAACAAATTGAAAACTAAAGAAGGGTTATGATCACTTAATATTACATCAGAAGAGGGTTTTAATTACAGGTGTTTTGATGTATTTAAATATTTGTGTAGTTTTGGTCTTTTCTGTATTTATTGTTTTTGTTTCACCAGTGTTGATGAAAATCAGTGAGAACTAATTTGAAGCGTATTCACTAAAATAAAACATAATTAATGTGCCTGATATTCATCTTTCAAGAAGAATGATATATTTTAACAGCAGAAGTTAAAGATGTTTAGACTTTCAGAGAACTTGACAGTGAGAAATGAAACATAATCATGTTTTGTTATTGGCATCCTTTATAATAATATGTTCTTAAAAATGGGTCAGAGTTGGCCTGTAATTAGTTCCAAGTACATAGTTCTCATAGGTCAGGGTTGGCCTGAAATTAGTTCCAAGTACATGGTTCCCATGGGTCAAGGTTGGCCTGTAATTAGTTCAAAGTACATGGGTCAGGGTTGGCCTGTAATTAGTTTCAAGTACATGGTTCCCATGAGTCAGGGTTGGCCTGTAATTAGTTCCAAGTACATGGTTCCCATGGGTCAGGGTAGGTCTGTAAATAGTTTCAAGTACATGGACCAGGGTTGGCCTGTAATTAGTTCCAAGTACATGGTTCCCATGAGTCAGGGTAGGTCTGTAAATAGTTTCAAGTATGTGGTTCTCATGGGTTAGGAAAACTGGCAGAAGTTGGTTAATTTTATATTTTGTGTTCCTGGTCTAGAAAACATCAAGAAATTTCACCTTACAGACAAAACCCAGGAAAAGTTGGTGAATGTCATAGGATTTGGTGATGCTTCTAAGACACGGATGAAAAAACAATTAATTATCATTAGCTCAAAAAAATTGCATATAAGCTATTTCTAATGCACTTAGTGCATCATTATGCATATTATATTCGGAAACTCTTGTCTACATCAGTCTTTTTGTTTATCGTTACTTGTCATGAAGTATGAAGGCAGTGGTAATAGATTATGTAAACACATGCTAGGTTCCTGCTTAAACAGAGTGTGATGGTTCTGAACAAGGCTTTGTCTCGTATCTCTAAACGTCATACAGTATAATTTTACTACAGGCTAAAAACACTTGACAAATTACTGTTTTCATTAAATAAGTTATTTTGATCATATAAATTTTAGTGCATTAATAAAATAGCCACCATTCCATGTCATCAGTCTTACCAAAAACAAGTAATACCCTGGCTGTATTATGTCAGTAACAAATTTGTTTAGGAAAAATTTAAAAGACGTCTAAACAAAAACGAACAGTTTGGTTATTTAGGTAAGTCCTGATAGTCCAAAGATAGAACAAATCTACACAGTTTTAGTGAGTTTTATTTGATACCTGTACTTATATTTATTCATTTAATCATCAGAAATAACTGTAATGATTATATATAATAATAATAATAGTTTTGTTTTAATTCCTTATAAAACAAAATATACATCACTAAGCATTGCCTACATCACACAACTTCATGATGCATAGTACAATATAGGGAGGGGTCATTGATAGGCAATATCTCCAAGAGACAGGTAGAATATCATCAGTGACAGTTAAGGAAATCTAAATAAAGCAAAATATGGATGGCAAAGCATAATATCAGTAATTTGAAGATACGTTTTGGAAAAAATTCTGATTACAAAAATATTAAAACATAGAATGTTTCATTGACTGTATCTAATATGTCTCACGTAAGGGTTTTAGATAATGTGGCACTAATTATTATCCATGAATATTTGTAGAAGCAGCTGAACCTGAGGCAGAGTAACAGAATATATCATGTTTACTTAATAATATATATTTTAATTAATACATCCTGCTCATTTACTAATCTATAATGTAACAAATACATCCTGCTCACTTAATAATCTATAATGTAACAAATACATCCTGCTCACTTAATAATCTATAATGTAACAAATACATCCTGCTCACTTAATAATCTATAATGTAACAAATACATCCTGTTTACTTAATAATCTATATTTTAATTAATACATCCTGTAATTAAATGCATCTGATACCCGAGTAATATATTAGGAAATTTTTCTGTTTGTTAACCAACAAACAAGATGCTAGGGACAGGAAAGAATAAAGACTGAATGTAAAGATGAGCAGGCACAACTTGACAGAATTGGATTAATAGTTTTGGTATTGCTTTAAAACTATGGACTCTCAGACCACGGTATGTCCTTGAGGTGCAGATATTAATTATGGAGATTGTGTCATGGGAGTGTTGTCGAGTATGAGTGATGTGTTAGTGTTTGTCGTTGTGTCTAAATCTAAAGAACATACTAGAATCAAAGTAGAGTGAGCACTTTTAGTAAAAGTTTTTCATGGTAACAGTTTTTAGTTAATGTTACAAGTAACATTACATAAGAACAAAATGAAAAACTTGACACTTGAGTGGTGTGATACAGTATCACTGTCAGTTACGAACATGTTTGCGTACAGTAAGACTCGTATCTGTGCCAGTTACCATAGCCTTTACAAGCATGATTGTACATCATGATGGTATAAAATTATAATGTAATTATAAACATTGAGGGTGTTTTATCAGCAGGTCTGATTCTGTGTATGAAGTGTCCTAAATGTAAGAATAGAATTTACAACTTCGTTATTTATCTCGTGAACAAACAAAACTTGCGTAAACTTGAAAATACTTTCAATATCGCGACTGATCGATAAATATATAGTCAGTATTTTTAAGACAGATGAATTTTCAAAGCACCTACAAAAATAATACAGTGTCTTCTGGATCAGTGGATGATTTTGTTAACACGTGCAGTTGTTTTATGAAATATCAGAAATATGAGTTTACTGCGGCATATGGTTAGCAAATGAAAGTTTTGTGCATGTGTGCACACACATCGGAAATGTTGCTTCAATAAATACTTGACATACGAGAAGTGTGTTTGCTAAAGAATGTTCCATAAGTATTCCTTCCATGTATTAAAAGTTGAAATGTAGTAATCACAATTGTTAAAATATATAGTGTTGTTTACCGTGTAATAATGTTTTTGTGATTTAAATTTAAAAGTTTAATTGGTATTTAATATCATAAACAAATGGATATACTGCCATTTGTTCTCAATGCTCTGATAAAGTAACAATAACTCAAGAATTGCATGACTGATGATATTGAAACTTTGCAAGGTGAAATTTCAGCAAACTGTGGCTCTTAACATACAGCCTCTTTTTTTCATTATAAAACAATTTAGGAATTTCATGTATTATTCATGTAATGATACGTTACAAACATACATGAAGCAGTCAAGGAATAGCATGTTTTGATGAGGGAAGGGTGTTGTAAAAGTCAAGGAACTTCATTCTTCCTAAGGTGTGGGAACCATTGAGATTGATGCTGTTTGTTTGTTTTGTCAAGTTCCTGTAGTTTACCTTTACAGTAATTTACAGATGTAAATTATATTAGCCAATAAAAAAAAACATGCCTTTAGTAACAATGTGCCACCTTAGAAATAGTAAAACATATCTCTGAAATCTTGAAGAACTACTACCTTCTGGTTCTAAATAATGGAAGAGAAGTGACATTAGAGCATTTCATTACCACATCATTAAACTTGACAGAGGAAAAAATGTGTAATTTTTAAATAAGTTGTATTCACTCAAAAAATAACACATAGATTGTTGTAGTCAGGCTAAAGTTGATGTAAGTTTTGATACATGTTGTAATGTGCTACTTTTAGTATGTAATTTCTGTTTTAAAATTATGGTTATATATAAATAGTTATTCAGCTGCTTAGGTCTAAAGTATTAAGTATTTTCTCTTATATTTTACACAATTTAAGATTTTAAACGTTCTGTTTATAACTTAAAGATTTTAATATTAGTATTTATTTTAAGCAGTTAACCAATTGGAACTCAAAATTCACTTTAAGATAGCTCTATATAAGGAAACATATGTTAGCTGAGTTCTTGCACAAATCTTAAAATATAATGTTGATAAACGGAAACATCGGCACATGTAGATATGTAGATCTTGAAAGTCGAGTTGTTCAAAACTTGAAAATAGCATTGATAACTGGACCAATTGTTGGTTGAGATGTTACAAAAGAAATATCTGCTGAAGCTTTTAGCCAGACACTAATCATAACATAACAGTCTGAAAAACCATCTCATTTTATAAGCTGTACTATTTCCTATAGATCATTTTCCAGATGGTTCTACTACTCGACTTTCAAGATCCACGTATCTGCATGAGCCGATTTATGAACGTTATATCTTAATATATGTGCAAGAACTCATTTAACAGATGTTTCCGTGTATCAAAGCTATCTTCAAGTTTTGTACGACAAAAAACCTTTTCAAAAATTCATTTTGCATATCTTTATTCCATCTTGGGGGTGTGAACGTTACTAAAACTTCTATTTAACCCTAATTTCTTCTTTGTTCATTTGTGGACTTTTTTTTTTCAATACCTGTATTTTAATTAGGTTGTATATAGCATTGTTTAAATAACGTTTTTTAAGTTACAACTTTAACTATTTTGTCACTGATATTAATAACAACATATGAACGTTATCTCCTTTAGAGGGAAGTTTTATATTTTACAATTACAAAACAATTTAGTTCACCTGAATCTGGAAACAGAAATCAGTAAGACATAGTTCAGCCAAGTGTAAGAACAGAGGTTAGAAAGACAGTTCTGCTAAGTGTAAGAACAGAAATCAGTAAAACATAGTTCTACTAAGTGTAACAACAGAGGTCAGTGAGACATAGTTCTGCTAAGTGTAACAACAGAAATCAGTAAGACATAGTTCTGCTAAGTGTAAGAACAGAAATCAGTAAGACATAGTTCTACTAAGTGTAACAACAGAGGTCAGTGAGACATAGTTCTTGCGAGTGTAAGAACAGAAATCAGTAAGACATAGTTCTACTAAGTGTAACAACAGAGGTCAGTAAGACATAGTTCTGCTAAGTGTAACAACAGAAATCAGTAAGACATAGTTCTTGCAAGTGTAAGAACAGAAATCAGTAAGACATAGTTCTTGCGAGTGTAAGAACAGAAATCAGTAAGACATAGTTCTACTAAGTGTAACAACAGAGGCCAGTAAGACATAGTTCTGCTAAGTTTAACAACAGAGGTCAGTAAGACATAGTTCTGCTAAGTGTAACAACAGAAATCAGTAAGACATTGTTCTGCTAAGTGTAAGAACAGAAATCAGTAAGACATAGTTCTTGCAAGTGTAAGAACAGAAATCAGTAAGACAGTTCTTGCGAGTGTAAGAACAGAAATCAGTAAGACATAGTTCTACTAAGTGTAACAACAGAGGTCAGTAAGACATAGTTCTGCTAAGTGTAACAACAGAGGTCAGTAAGACATAGTTCTTGCAAGTGTAAGAACAGAGGTCAGTAAGACATAGTTCTACTAAGTGTAACAACAGAGGTCAGTAAGACATAGTTCTGCTAAGTGTAGGAATAAAGAGAGATAAGTAATACCTAAAATTTCACTTTCAGTCATCCCATAACACAACATCTAAGTTCTGTGTAAATATAATTATATTTAGTTTAATTGAATTTATATGCCAGCTTTTAATTATTTCGTTTACATTTTCTACAAATACTGTATGTTTGTTACTAGTCCTGCTTCAATAATAAAAAAGACATTTGTAAATGCTCCTTTGTTTTGTTTTTGTTTTCATTGTAACTAAAGTTGAATTTTGTTTTAATGTTATGATAATGTGATCATTTCTGCATGAAATAAATTGGCCCTTCCTACCATTCTTTAAAGATAAATTCACACTACAACAATACCCTATCGATAAAAAGCTAACCCTTTACCTCAGTTGGTAGAGAAATCATCTGACCTCGAGTTAAGATTGGAATCAAGAAAATATAAAACACAATGTTACATTACATTTATGAAATAACGAATAAGACCCGAACTAGCGTTATATGCATAAATAATAAAACTAGATGTTACGTTTGGTCGTTAGAGAAAGATTACAAACGGATGTTGCTACCCTTCAAGCTTAAAATAATATATAAATTGCTAATAGAATAAACGGACTGCATTACTTGCGTAATTCGTTAATATCCACGTTCATAACACTGGTTAGGTGAATTAAGTACAATCAGGTGTTAAAACATAACCATACGTCAACTCTGAACGCGTTGATAAAATACAGAAAAATTAGAATTAATTTTACAAGGATATGAACGTTTTATTCCATTTTCTCTAGTCTCATTAGCGAGTACAATAGACGTTGAAATTGACAAATTTCGCAAGTAACGCAAGGTTTAAAAGTTGTTTCTTCAAGGCTATAGGGTAAACTAGTGGGCTCATCTCTAACAACTGACCAGGTTACAAATTGTAACATATTGTTACGTATCTGGTCGTTTGTTAATTTCCGGTATAAATTCTTCCCGAGGAACTTCAGCGATACAAGTCCTTTCTTAAATAAAACTAGTTTATTCTTTCTGAATACAACTTTGCAATACACAGGATTTCCACAGTCACTTTAACTTGAACATACGCTATAATTCACAACGATTCACGCATTTTCCTTACGGTCACTACCGCTCACTTGACTCAATTATATGTCTCTATCTCCATCTATCTGCAAATTATTATCTCCGCTTTATTTGCCGGGCTTATATATTAAAATAGAGGGCATCTGGCAAACACTCGAGCCTTCATGATCCTTCTAGAAACTCATCACGTGTAACCAGCGTCACTTGACTTCCGCTGTCTTAACACTGCCCCTTCCTTAGTATTGTTTGTCCCGAACAATAGCCACTTACATTAAACCGATAGATAATTAACAATAACTTGATTAAATGTACAGAATTTACAAACACAAAATTAAAATTCAACAAAGTCTCTTAATTTTACGGGACGTATCTTCTTCCGTACTGGTCTCCGTCTCGTTGGCTTCTACTTCACGTGAGGTTCATCTGCTCTATCAGGAAATGTCCTATTATCGGTAACAGTCACATCTTCTCAAAATCGGGTAGAGTTTATTCTTCAACAGTGGTTTTTTCAGGTGAAACGTCTTTAGCAGCGTCATTTGTTCCATTGTTCACTTCGTTCCAACTGAAATGTCCTGGACCGTG